CTCTCTGCTTGCTTCCCTTTCCTTTTATCTCTTGTAAGATAAAAGGTGGTGCAGGCCACACCCCAGGGAAACTCCCTTTACATTGGATCAGGAATGTGACCTGAGCAAGGGTGTTACATCCCACCCTAATCCTTTTTAACCACAGGCAGAGATTATAACATGGGAAAATCACAAAATGGTGAACAACCACACAATACTGGGAATCATGGCCTAACCAAGTTGACACATATTTTTGGTGGACACAATTCAACCCATGACACCAAGTAAAAGAAAGAATACCAGAAAGTTATTTACCTGTGTTTCACTGACTATGCAAAGGCATTTGACTTGGTGGATCATAACAAATTATGGATAACGTTGTCAAGAAATAATTTTTAAAAGTAAGCATACTTATTTATAACTGAGCCAATTTTCATACTAGAAGAAAACTCAATCTGTAAAGCTGCAATTTACTAAATAAACCAACTATAGCATAATTATTTGTTGGGAGATACTTTTTTTTTCAGATTTTTTAAATAGCAAGCTAAAAAAATAAACAAACCAAACCCGTTACCGTCAAGTCAATTCCAACTCATAGCAATCTTACAGTACAGAGTAGAACTGCCCCACAGGGTTTCCAAGGAGCAGCTGGTGGATTCGAACTGCTGACCTTTTGGTTAGCAGTCGGGCTCTTAACCACTGCGTCACCAAGGCTCCAAATAAACCAACTATAGCATAATTGTTAGGAAATTTTTTTTTTCTGATTCTTTAAATAGGAGCTAAGTGCATTTAAAATCCTCTGCATTTAAAATCTAATTATCTTCATACCACGAAGACCAAGACTAATCCTCTATATTCTGTCTTCACACCTGTGAACAGAAGCCCTGCTCCTAGCCTGGGGTTCCAATCCTCACCCCCAATGGAGGACTTCTGTCCAGCGGTTCTCTCTTCCCTCTCCTACATCATTCATTTCTCCCTCTCTATTGGCTTATCCCATCAAACATGTCTTACTAGTGATTCTCTTTTAAGAGCCCTCCCTTTACCCCATGTCTTAGTTATCTAGTGTTGCTATAATGGAAATACCACAAGTGGATGGTTTTAACAAAGAGAAGTTTATTTCCTTACAGTAAAGTAAGCTAAAAGTCAAAATTCAGGGCATCAGCTCCAGAGGAAGACTTTCTCTCTGCCGGTCTTCTCTTCAGTGTTCCCCCGGACTAGGAGCTTCTCCGCACAGGGACCGCAGGTCCAAAGGATGCGCTGTGCTCCTGGCACTGCTTTCTTGTTGGTATGAGGTCCCCTTGTCTCTCTGTTCACTTCTCTGTTTTATATCTCAAGAGATTACCTCAGGACATAATCCAATCTTGTAGATTGAGTCCTGCCTTACTAACATAACTGCCACCCATCCTCCCACATTAACATCATAGAGGCAGAATTTACAACACATAGGAAAATCACACACTACCAGGAATCATGGCCCAGCCAAATTGATACACACATTTTTGGGGGGACATAATTCAATCCATGACACCCCACATCCCTCCCTCCAGCAAACAAATACTTCTTTATATTCCTTTCAGCAAAGGTCCTCCATATGGTTGTTTATACTCCGTCTCACTTCCTGACTTCCTACTTTTTGCTCAGTCCACAACACTGAAACATCTTTAACCGAAGTCATCAAAGGCCGCCATCTTGGTGAAACCTAACAGTATAATTCTCTGCCCCGGTCCTACTCTGCTTCTCACCAGCATTTGACACAGCTGCCAACTCTCTCCTTGAAATGCCTTCTCTAGGCTTCTATGACCCTGCACTCTCCTGGTTTTCTTTCAACCTTACCTCCTGCTCCTCCTCATTCTCCTTTACTTGGCTCTTTGCTTAACCTGAGCCCCCATGTGCCCAAGGTCTTGGCCTTTGGCCCTTTTCTCTGTCTGCCCTTTCTAGGTGATATTATCCACCCTGTTGCTTTAAATTCCATGTACATACTGAAGATGCTCAAATGTAATCTCCATCCCTGGCTTCTCACTTAAGTTCCAGTCTTGGAAATCCAGTTACCCACTGACATCTCCACTTGGATGTGGAATGCACATCTCGGGTAGAACATGTGGAAAACAGCTCTTGATTTTTCCCCTCATCAAAACTTTCTGTCCCCAGGTTTACCCATCTTAGCTTATGCCCTATCATACGCAGCTTTGCTTAAACCGAAGACCCAGGAGTCATCCTTGATTGCTCTCTCGTCCTCACAACAAACATTTAATTCATCAACAAGGCTCCGTGTCCTCAAATAGACCCCAAATTCAATCTCTTCTCTCACACCGTCTTTACTGGCACCACTCACCCTAGCTATCATATCGGCCCTCCTCTTGTAATTAACAGCCTCCTAACTAAAAATTTTGTGTTCTATGCAGCAGCCTAACTGAGCTTATCAAAATGTAAATCAGAACATGGATCTTGCTTAAAATCCTACACTGGCTGTCATGGATTGCGTTGTGTCCCCCAGAAATACCTGTCAGCTTGGCTGGGTCATGATTCCCAGTATTATATGATTGTGTTACCTGATGTGATTTCCTTATGTGTTGTAAATTCTATCACTATGATGAGATTATATGTGATCTCCTTATGTGTTGTGAATTCTATCACAGTGATGAGGTTATACTGATGAGGTTGACAAGATTAGTGTCGTAATGCAATCTCTTTTGAGATACAAGAAAGAGAATTGAGCAGAGACACAAGGGAACCTCATACCATCAAGAAAGCAGTGCCGGGAGCAGAGCACATCCTTTGGACCTGAGGTTCCTGTGCTGAGGTGCTCACAGACCAAGTGAAGATTGATGACACAGACCTTCCTCCAGAGCTGACAGAGAAAGCATTACCCTGGAGCTGATGCCCTGAATTTAGACTTGTAGCCTACTGGACTGTGAGAGAATAAACTTCTCTTTGCTAAACCCATCCACTTGTGGTATTTCTGTTAGAGCAGTACTAGATGACTAAGACACTGGCTTTCCACTGCCATTAGGAAAAAATCCAAATCCCTTTCTCTGATTACAAGGTCCACCAGGATCTGGTCCTTCCTAACTGGCAGCCTTCATCTCATACCACTATCCTGCGCCACGCTCTCTTCTTCCAGTCCAGTTATACTGCCTTTGAGTTTCTCAACAACAGACTTGCCCCATTCAGGGCCTCTGCAGGGCTGTTCCCTCTGTAGGGGACACTTTATACCCCCATGGCCGGCAACTCCTCCCTCTGCTCCCATTCCACCTTCTCTAGAGGCCTCCTTCTTCACCTCCTCCCTTCACTTTCACCTTCACCTCCATCCCAGTGACACTTTACCCATTACCTTTTTCTGTTTTCTACACAGCGCTTTCCACTTTCTGAACTTCCGGAATTGTTCATATGTTTTCTGTCTTCCTCAATAAGATGCACTCCCTGACAGGGACTTTGTCTTGTCCACCACTCTGTCCTGAGGGCCTGCAACCATCCCTACCCAGATGTGTGCTTCATAAGTATTTGTGGAATGACTGCAGCTTGACAGGAACAGAGCTTCAAGGAGAGGGAGATCCAATCTAGTGTATCGATTGGAAAAACAAGGTGATTTATCCAATATGTTATTTGAACAACTTTGTTTTCCTTCCTTTACACAATTCTTTTCATTTATGTAATAAATATTGAACATTTCTGATGTACCAAGTACTGGAGGGTGGGGCATCTGTACTGATTATTTAAGGTAAGTCGAGATATAATCTAAGTATAATCTAAGAAGGGCTTTCACACTGGTTAAAAAAAGGGGAGGCTCCTTGCACCTTTTTTCTGAAATGGAGTACCTTTTACATACACTTGCCTTTCTTCACTTGCCAAATGATCTGTAAATTTAGGAAGACCAGAAGAATATTAAAGTACCATTGTCAAAATTCAAAAATCTGGTTTGACTTTTTCAGTCGGTTGTGGTTGCTAGTTGCCTCAAGTCCGTTCAGATTCATGGCAACCCCATGTGTGCAGAGTAGAACCGCTCCATAGGGTTTTCAAGGATGTGACCTTTAGGTACCAGATCACTGGGCCTGTCTTCCCAAGTGCCTGTGGGTGGGTTTGAACCGCCAACCTTTTGGTTGGTAGTTGAGTGCTGTTTGCGCCTCCCAGGGACTCCTTTCAGTCATAGTAGGCTTGTAAATTCTTAAAATCACCAGGGCTATGATACTGCCGGGTCCTTCCAAGCCCACTAACCTAAGGAGTTGGCCGGAGGGAAAGCAAGAAGGTTAAGAGGAGGAAAATAATGGGAACCGAAGAAAACCCAGAGAAATCACTGGGATTTCCAGTTCCTTCTTCTGGCTGCTCTAGTAGCCTCCTAATTCCAACAGCCGCCCCTCTCCAGGGTTCGTAACACTTCCCTCTCGGACTGCAACGGCTGTCTGCGAACCTCAGGGGCGGAACCGTGGCCTTGGGCCCCATGCCGGGAAGAGCTCTCCAGACCGCTCCTTCCAGCTTCACTCTCACATGGAGACTGCGACAACCCCGCCCACTCCCTCTGCCCGGTTCCCCGCCCTCATGACTGGCAGCTCCAGTGCCCTATCACTGCCACTGTCCGAGCTTCCTCCAGGCTACCCCGCCCCCACTCATGTTCCGGCCTGCGGGGATTGGCCGAGAGCGGCTCTTAGCCTACGCCCGTGTATTATGTAACCTGTTCTGAGGCCTTCGCCCCCGCCCCACTCGCCCTAGTTTATGTAACCCGGGAGCCTCAGCGTCGGGCCCCGCCCCCCAGGCCAATGGGGGCCCGCGCAGCTAGCGGTGATGGCCTATCGCGCGGCCCAGGGGCGGGGCGCCGTCACGCGGCGGCAAGGGGCGCGGGCGCTGGCACGCGGCGGGCCTCGAGACCGGCGCGCGCCGGCCAGGGCAAGTGAGCATTCGGCGGACGGCCTCTGTGCAGTGAGTGTGCCCTGCGCGCCCGCTGTGGGAGCCGCAGCCCCGGAACTGTGCTCGTTCCCGGGACCCACTTTCTCCGGTGCAGTGCTTGGCGCGCGCCGACTTTTCAGAAGTGAGGAAAGTTGTGTGAATCCGGAGTCTTCGTGCAGCGACAGGGGGCGGAGGACCCCTCCCCTGGGGCTCCCAAGTCCTAGAGGACCCTGTCTCCGGCACTGATCATATGTTTCACTGGGCATCTGTCACCGTTGTCCCCCTAGACCGGACCCGCTACAGTGCAAACACCCAGGAAGGTTTTATGGAAACTGAGAGATAAGTGCTTTAAGGGGACCACAGATCATTAATACCCCGTGCGTGATGACAGCTCACTTTCCCTAACGCGATGGCAGGGACCAAAAGGAGGAATAAACTTCGGTCTGGGGCTCCAAAATAAACAAGAAGCAGGCGACAGACGTGAGGGACGCCGAGCAGGAGATGGAGCTCTGCGAAGGTGTGGACCTGCCCCGCGGTCAGGCTCGCGACTCCGGGGAAAACGAGCCCAAAGAACTTGAAGGACCCCTGCCCCGCGGGCAGGAGTCCCTCGGAGCCAAACCCGATGCGGTGTGGAGCCAAAACTACCAACTGCCCAGGAAATACGGGGAGAACAGCAACAGGTGACAACTTTGTTTTCATTTCACAACCTGATTTGTTTGTTGTTCTTCCCTGGTAAAAGGGAAAGCGGGGCTTCGATAATTTTATTCTTTTGTTTTTAAGCTTAGGGAAAAGTTTGGGAGGAGACACAGATAAATTAGTATGAGAAGATCTGGGAAAATGGAGAAAATTGCCAAAGAGTACCGAAGTACATTAAAAGTGGTTGAAGAATTTAGCTGAGTTGAGAATGAGTGGAAGATGTTTGACATTTACCCATTCCTTTGCCTCAGTTTCCCTATCTGTAAAAATTGTTTTAGCCTGTGCTGTCGAGTTGACTGACTCATGGCAACCCCCTGTGTGTCATAGTAAAACTGCTCCATGTGATTTTCAGTGGCTGATTTTTTGGATGTAAATAGCCAGGCCTTTCTTCTGAGGCATTTCTGGATGGACTCGAACCTCCAACCTTACTGTTAGCAACCAAGCACATTAGCTGTTTGCACCATCCTGGGACTAATAAACTTGTGAACTAAATGAGTTGATGCACGTTAAGCATTTAGAAAATGGCCTGACACGAAGTGTGCGTGCAATAAATGTTGACTGTTATTATTGAAGGTGTGAGTTTATTATTTTTTATCTTAACAGTAAACACCGGGATCGGATCAGAGTTTCTGAAGAAGTTATGATGGTAGTCCAGGAGATGAAAAAGTACTTCCCATCGGAGAGGCATAGTAAACCCAGCACACTAGATGCCCTCAACTATGCCCTTCGCTGTGTACACAGTGTGCAAGGTAAACTAGCTGGAGGGAAGAGCCAGTCCTACAGATACACCCAGAGAAGTTGTCAGTGTGTTTTTACACATAGAAATCGTTTGAGCTTTTTATGATGAATGATTTTGTTACTGTCTTTTTCAAACTAAGAACAGGAGAACCTTATTTGAGGGATACTTAAGTAAATGTGCAATATTTTGCTGGCTTGTTGCAAGAGCTAAGTGTTTAGCATAAGAATATTTTGAAGATTAACTTTTTAAAGGAGTATTGTCTTCTGTTGGTGTTAGAAAAAAATACGTTTGATTATATACATTTTCCTGTCATACACATAGTTGTAAAATACAATCATAATATATCAGGAATTTACCAAATTAAAAATGAGCAATTGTAAATAATTTTTTTCTTTTTCTCTCTGACATTTTTTCTTGGGGGAATTTCATAAAGTACGTATTCTCTTTAGCACAAACCTCTGTGGCTGCAAATAATGCTGAATACTGGGGTAATGTTTCTGTCGTAAAAAATTATACATGTGTGTGCACAAGTGTGTATATTTGGAATTTTGGGTTTCAGCACCTTGTTTTAGTAGGTTAAATGTATCTTGTTCCTTGTGATGTAGAAAGTGCTAAATTCATAAGGAACTTTTTTTTTTGTTTGAGGAAACTCAGAATCTTAAGTTTGCACCGCTATCTATATTTTTGGTGAAAGAAGAAAATGATCTGGTTCTGAGGAAAACACACTGAGGTGTCTTTGTCCTGAAAAAATAAGCTGGTTTAAGAGTGATAAAATTGGTTTCCTAAAGATACTGTTGCCACTGGACTACCTGTTTCTTTTCCTGTGTTTCTTAGCAAACAGTGAGTTTTTCCAGATTCTCAGTCAGAATGGAGCACCTCAGGCAGACGTGACCATGTACAGTCTTGAGAAGCTGACCACTATCGCCTCAGAACACACTTCCAAAAACACAGTAAGAGTTCACGAATTTTGCCATACCAACCTGGGTGACTTTCCTAAGGGCCTTCTCTAGATGCAGACTTTCAATACTGAAAGTTTCAATAACCACGGTTTGAGGTAAACAAAAGGAGAAAGTTGCTAAGGAGGCATTGTGTAGTTTCTGCTTCTGTTGACAGAGAACACGTCCAAATGTAGGAAGCAGCACATCAGGTAGTTGATTTGCTTTGATTCTGAGGTGCTTCTGTCCTTACCATCCCTGAGTTCTCTCAAATTAAGAAACAAACACATACAGTGCAGAGTAATTTCCTGTGTTTTATCCTAGTCTCAGAATTGTTCATTTCTATTTATATCATTCTTAGTTCCAATATCTACTACTTCAAGTTGTAACAACTGGATTTTATAGAACAGGTGAGTTGAGATGCTGCCATTTTTTATGAAATTTTGGAAGAGATGTTTGGTATATATTGACTCTCTTCATATTGACAGAATAATTAAGCTTTATGTTAATGATGAAGTTTACTTGATTTTATGTTTAGACTTCAGCATAATTATAACTTAAAGATGCTGTCATTTGGGAACAGGAGCTATCACCAGGATTATAGTAGTGCATGTTTATTATCTGGTGTGTGCCAGGTACTGTAGGAGGTGCTATGGAGATTTAAGAAAAAGTTTAAGAAAACATTTGCCATTTAAGAGGTTCAGAATAAAGCTAGAGAGGAAACCTATGCCAGTGCTAGTGGACACACACAGTGGCTGATTATAAATATTTTACATTTATGTCCAATGGAACAAATTAGAAAAGTGGTTCTTAGGAAATGAAATTTGTCAAGGACAGCTTCTTGAAGGAGGTGAATCTTGATCTTGGTCTTGAAGCCCAAAATCTGCACTTGATGAATAGAAGACAGTCGTTCCAGGTGTGTAAGGCACAGCCTGCAAAGAACGAATTGGGAGTTTATATAACATATGTATGTTGCTATAGAATGAGCTAGTACGTATATATTTTTTTGGCATGGAAGTCAAACATTCAGAAGATAAAACTCAAGTTTTCTGATAATATTTAAGAAGTACGTTGGAAAAAATTATTTTGGGAGTTTTGTTGCCATTACAGGATGTATGTGTGTATGTTTTAAAGTATTAATCATGGTAGAATTCTAGAAGCAATTTACCTTCCAGTGCATATAACTAGGAAGTATTTCAATATTTGCATTTATTTTAAATGTTTTTCATAGGACACCTTTGCGGCAGTTTTTTCATTTCTGTCTGGAAGGTTAGTGCACATTTCTGAACAGGCTACTTCAATCCTGAATTGTAGAAAAGATTTCTTGGAGTCTTCCCATTTTGTTGAACTGCTTGCCCCTCAAGATGTGAGGGTATTCTACGCGCACACTGCCCACGCCCAGCTTCCCTCCTGGAACAACTGGACCCAAAGAGGTAATGACACCAGTATGTTCATCTTGCCTCATAGAGATCAGTTTCGTTCTTCCGGAGATAATAAATTAATGCGCTATTTAGAACATGTAAACGATATGATTTTACTTATTTCTTAAAAGAAAAAAGCCGAAATGTAGTGAAAAGCTTTGTAATTGCTTGTAATAACGTAAAGATCCAATAAATGTGTTTTGATGTTAGTCAGGTTAATTGCATAGGTTAACCAAAACCAAACAAACCCATTGCCATCGAGTCGACTCCAACTTATAGCAACCCTATAGGACAGGGTACAACTGCCCCATAGGGCTTTCTAGGCTGTAATCTTTACGGAGCCAGATTGCCACATCTTTCTCCCGAAGAGCAGCTGGTGGGTTCGAACCACCAACTTTTCGGTTAGCGGCCAAGCGTCTAACTATGATGTGGTCACCAGCACATTGCACAGCAGTATAATCAATATCAACGCTCAGTTTCCTGTGGAAAAAGCCAGTTGCTGTTCAGTCAATTCCTACTCATGGCAGCCCCATCCCATGTATGTCAGAGTAAAACTATACTCCATAGGGCTGATAATGGCGGATTTTTTGGAAGGAGATCTCCAGGCATTTTTTATGCAGCACCTCTGGGTAGATTTGAACCTCCAGTCTTTTGGTTAGCAGCCAAGTGTATTAACCATTTGGACCACTCAGGGACTCCTGTTTCCTTTAAGTTAGTGAAATTAAATGTTTTCCCTTCTATATTGACTTCACTATTCCTTTGTAAACTAGATTTTACTTTGCAGATGAAATTCTAATGGTTAGCTCCCTTTTCCAGTTTTTCTTGCTCGTAAAAGTTCATCAATCTCATTACTTTGTTTTTCTTCTGAAAGATATGCTTATTTCTGTACCAGAGATGCCTATTCAGAATTTTCTTTGTGACATTCAGTCCAGTCTTTGTGATCCTTAAGTAAGTATTTTTGTTTTAAGTCATCCTTTATTACTTAGTTCGTATTCTTTGTGACCTGTCAAAGAGTTTATGGCCTTCTCTTTCATTCTGAGCCTGCTTCTCTTAATTTTTTAATCCAGCACTTAATTTAGTGAAGAGCAGTCTTGCATCCTTCTTTTTCCAATTATAGACCTTTGCCTGACCTTTTTTGTACTTTTTTTATTATAAACTTTAGCAAATGTACCTATGTTGTCCTTGTCTTCTAGCTTCCTCATCTCTCCTTTTCCCATCATTCAAAAATACTGATTTCATTTCTCTTCCTCTTTCCTGAGCACATTTTCCCATTCTTTAACTGTCCATGTTTGTTCTTCCGCTTTCATTTAGTCACTTACTCATTCCATAAACATTCGTTCAATAATCACTATTGGCCAGGAACTATTCTAGATGTTGAGATACTGCTCTGAGCAGGACAGACACCTGATAAGACTGTTTGCCCACTCTTTCACATTCATGCCAGGTATTTTTCCTTCAGCATTGCCTGTATAGTCCCTGTCTTGTCTTTCCAACCTTTTTATCTTTGCTAATTACTGATAACCACCCTGATATTTTCCTTCTCGTGCAAAAACTTAATATGCCCTGAAATTATTGCCTGTTGTACCTCAAAATTTACTTACTCCATAAGACTACGGAATCCAGTTTATCCTTATATTGTACTTTTGCCTGTACATTTCAAGGATTCAGACTCGCATTGGGGGCAGTTGGTTAGCTCCATGCCATTTCTAAGCTGTACCCTTGTTACCTCCTTCTGCCCTTTTGTCTCCACCACCTGTCTGTCAGTTTGTCATACTGTGGTGGCTTGTGTGTTGCTGTGATGCTGGAAGCTATGCCACCGGTATTTCAAATACCAGCAGGGTCGCTTATGGTGGACAGGTTTCAGCAGAGCTTCTAAACAAAGATGGACTAGGAAGAAAGGCCTGACGATCTACTTCCAAAAGTTAACCAATGAAAGCCATATAGATTATAAGAGAGTATTGTCCAATGTAGTGCTAGAAGAAGAGCCTTCTAGGTTGGAAGGCACTCAGAATACACAGAGGCCACAACCATGGATTGAGCATACCAGTGATCATGAAGATGGTGAAGGACCAGGCACCGTTTCCTTCGGTTATACGTGGGGTCCCTATGAGTTGGAGGCAACTTGACAGCAACTAACAACAGCAACAACAACCCTTCCTTTGAGCTCACAGAACATTAAGGACATGGGCAGCTATGTGCTCAGTTATGGCCGGCCTTTGGCCTTGTATTAAAACATGTTTCAGTTTAATCTTGTAGTATGGACCTTTCAGAAGGATCTGACCACTATTTATTTAGAACACACACAGCCTTGCTATTGAAATGCATAATGGGCTCACATTTGCTGTGTGAGATCACATGGGGTTTTTTTTTTGGCTTTGAAGAACAGAAATTTATTTTCTCACAGTTCAGGAGGCTAGAAGTCCGAATTCAAGGCACTGACTCTGGGGGAAGATTCTTGTTTCTTTCAGCTTCTGTTCCTCTCTCTCTCTCTTACTTTTGCAAGAACAGAAATTATCGTCTCACAGTACGGGAGGCTAGTAGTCCAAACTCAGTGTCATGGGGCCACCATCTTTCTGAAGGCTCTCGGGGAAGATTCTTTGTCAGCTTTTGGTAGCCTCAGGTGTTCCTTGGCTCTCACTTTCAGCATAACTCCATCCTCATGGCTGTCTTCCCTCCATCTGTCTGTATCTCTTCTCCATTTTTACAAGGGCATCATTCAGATTAGGACCCTCCCTACTCGTGTATGACCTCATGTTAACTGGTAACATCTTCAGAGACCCTACTTCCAAACAAGATCGCGTGCACAGGTACCAGCGGTTAGGACTTCAGCATTAGTTTTGAGGGGACACAATTCAGTCCATAACAGTATAGTTAGTCTTTTTAAATTTAGTCACTCTAGTGGGTGTGATTTCTATTTTTAGTTTTAATTTGTACTAATTGGTTGTTCACATCTTTTTTTTTTAAATTTTAATGTGCTTTAGATGAAAGTTTACAGAACAAATTAGTTTCTTATTCAAAAATTTATACACAGATTGTTTTGTGACATTGGTTGTAATCCCGCAGTGTGTCAACACTCTCCTCCTTTTCACCACCAGTTTCCCTGTTTTCATTCGTCCAGCTTTCCTGTCCTTTCCTGCCTTTTCATCTTTGCTTTTGGGCGGTGTTGCCCATTTGGTCCCGTATACTTGACTGATGTAAGAAACATGTTCTTTATGTGTGTTATTGTTTGTTTTATAGGCCTGTCTAATCTTTGTCTGAAAGGTGAACTTCAGGAATTGCTTCAGTTCTGAGTTAGAAGAGTGTCAGGGGGGCCGTAGTCTCAGGGATTCCTCCAGTCTCTATCAGACCAGTAAGTCTGGCCTTTTTTTGTGCATTTGAATTTTGTCCTAAATTTTTTGCTCACTCTGTCTGAAACCCTCTATTGTGTTCCCTGTCAGAGCGGTCAGTGGTGGTAGCCGGGCACCATCTAGTTCTTCGGGGCTCAGGTGGGTGGAAGCTGAGATAACATAGCCTTGCTCCATGTGTTATGAGACTCCCGGCGAAGGCAGTGGAAATTCAGGTACCTGATGTGATGTATAAATGGTGTAAGCAAGTTTACGTCATAGTACATTTACAGTATTTTCTGTGCACAAAGTATCATAAACTAGGAATCTGAAGGTCTGAGTTTTAAACTGAGTTCTGTCCCTTGATTAACCTTGGGAGTCACTTGGCTTCTCTTTGTGAAATAGGAATGATAGCTTCTGACCAGCCTACGAGTACAGGGTTGCTGTGAGAATCAAACAAGCCCATGCTGGGAAAGCACTGTAGGTAGTTGGAGCTTTCTGTAAACATGAAGGAGTCCCTAGGTAGTGCAGACAGTTAATGTGCTTGACTGCTAACTGGAAAGTTGGAGGTTTGAGTCCACTCAGAGGTGCCTCAGAAGAAAGGCCTGGTGATCTGCTTCTGAAAAATTAGCCATTCAAAACCCTGTTGAGCACAGTTCATCTGATACACGTGGGGTTGCCATGAGTTGGAATTGACTCCCCAGCAGCTGGTTTGGTTTTGGTTTATAAACGAAAAGGATAATATTAATCAGTATCATCTTTTGAGTTGTTATTATTTGCTAGGGAGTGTTCTTAATGTTTCACATAGACTGAATAGTTTCATTTTTACAGTTAACATTGTGGGGTGTAGGTACTGTTATTACCCTCATTTCACAGATAAGGTAACTGTGTTAGTTTGGGTCTACCAGGAAGCAAATACCAAGATGGGAGTAGATGTGCAAGAGATGCCTTGAGGGAGGGAGTAGGAGGGGTGGGAAGTGTCTTCAGACCATAGTGCAGATCTGACACCCTGGAAGGAGAAAGATGGAAGGGGGTGGGGGAGGAAGGATACCCTGCAAGGAGAGTGAGGGGAGGGAGGGAGGGAGGAAGGACAGCTTGGAAGGAGAGAGAAGGGAGGGGAGGGGAAGGGGGAGGAAGGATACCACGGAAGTAGAGAGAAGGGAGGGAGGAGGGAGAGGAAGGACACCCTGGAAGTGGGGAAGCAGGGAGGAAGGACAGCCTGGAAGGAGGGGGAGGAAGGGGGCAGAGAGGAAGAACAGTCTGGAAGAAGAGGGAAGGAAGGGGGCAGGGAGGAGGACACCCTGGCAGGAGAAGGAAGGAAGGGGGCAGGGAGGAAGGACAGTCTGGAAGTGGGGAGAAGGAAGGAGGGGAGGAAACCTCTTGACTACAGCCCAGTTGAAAGAACAGCTAGGCTAGGAAGCCCAGGGAAAATCCAGGAGCCAAAGTCATGCATTGTAGGCGTCCAAAATGTTCCTGTCTTAGTACCCCTATGCACAGGCACCGGCTGGGAGCCGCCATGGGAAGCATGATGCAAGCAGTGGCGGATGCAGAGGGGCCGCAGCTGCGGCTTTCAGCCAGGGTTGCTCCTGAAGCCAGGAGCTGCCACTGTCACTGAGGCACAGAGCTGGGTGACTCACCTGCAGTCACACTGAGGCAGTCAGAATCCAGAGCCCTGCTCTCAGCCACTACTCTCAAAGTAGAGAAGTCTCCCAACTGCAGGACTGCCTGCAACTCTAGCTTTAAAATGAAAAAAAAAGCTGCCATAGAGTAGATTCCCACTGTGTCGGTTTAGAACTGTGCTCCATAGGGTTTTCAAGGCTGTGACATTTCAGAAATAGGCCTTTCTTCCCAAGCACCTCTGGGTGGACTCGAACCTCCAAACTTTCGGTTAGTAGCTGAGTGCGTTAGCTGTTTGCATCACCCAGGGACTCCAGCTTTAAAATAGGGAAGCCATAATCAAATGAAGGCATATGTTTGAAAGATTGAAAGCTGTGCCAACAAATTATTTTGTAGGAAGGTGTAGTTCCCTTCTCTAAAATGATCTCAGAAAATTAAGGATATTTTTGAAAAGTCCTTTTCTTGCCTTAATTCCTCCATGAGTTTATTTAAGCCTTTACTGAAGCTATTTCTGTGTTAAAACTGTAGCATGCCTTACAGTAAATAATTCCTTAAGCTCACCTTATAAGGTTATTCTTCCATTTATTTTTCACAGACACACTGTAAGAATTATATTCTGGTTCCAGAACTCTGAGACTGTAACTCTCTCACTTTCATAAACTGCGGTACTTTGATCCCTGGTTCCTTTATTCTTAAACTGAAGTATCTTTTAGAATCATGTACATTTTCCTTAGTCATTCAAAAGGCCTTTTTCTGATTCTTTCCATAATCCTTCCTCCAGAAGTACTAGACCTGAGCTGTATCCAGTATCTTAGTTGTTTAAGATTCTTGTTGTTTATAGTGCCTTCAGTGTATGTTTATTAAACATCTCACAGTTTTCCTTGGTTCCTGTAATTAAGGACCTTCCTCTCCAGTGAACCAGTGCCCGTAAGATAGCTACCCAGAGCTCTAACCAGAGGCCATATGGGTAGCTAATGAGCTCTTGGAAAAAGGTTTCGCCCCTATCTTTAAAGGCAAGTTTCAACAGTTCTGAATTGCTGCCTCACACCAAAAAAAACAAAAAACACCGAACCCATTGCCATCGAGTCAATTCCGACTCATAGCAACCCTGTAGGACAGAAGAGAACTGCCCCTTAGGATTTCCAAGGCTGTAAATCTTTACGGAAGCAGACTGCCACATCTTTCTACTACAGATCGGCTGGTGGGTTCGAACGTCTGACCTTTCAGTTGGCAGCTGGGTGCTTTAACCACTCACCTCACACCAGAGCTACCAAAAATCAGTAAGATTGGTGCAAACCAGTGACATCAGGGTTGTGAGAAAACATTAAAATAATAATGACACTGCAGATAACGGGTACAGTCTTCTGGAGATTAGTTTGCCAGTACATGATGAGAGTCGTGAAAGGATCATGTCTTTTAACCTAGGAACGCAATTTTATCCAAAGCAAGAATGTAAAGGGGAAGGAAAAAAAATTATGTATCATAGCTAAAATCTAAATTCCCAGTTGTTGAGAAAAGTTACATTATTGCCAAAATAATGGTTGTGTCAAAAGATTATTACATTGGTGTTTGAGATAATAAGTATGGGCAGTTTTAGAAATATGGAGGAGCTTTAGTGGTGTAATGATTAAGTGCTAGGATGCTAACTGAAAGGCCTGCAGTTAGAACCCACCAGCGGCTCTATGGGAGAAAAAACCTGGTGATCTGATCCCATAAAGATTACAGTCTTAAAAACCCTACAGTCTGCTCCATTGTATAGGGTCACTATGAGTTGAATGCACTCGATAGCACACAACAATAACATAGAAATATGGAAAGGATTATAGGGAAAGCTATAAATCAGAAACTTCATTTTTTTTTTTTTTTTTTACCTGAGGGTTACTGCGTAATACGAAAGCCCTTGGGAATATAGAATGTGAAGCCCTAAAAGTGAAGGAGAAGAGTTCTATTTTAATCAAGAGCACTTTTATCTTAAGAAGATAGTTTATCCCTTTGGTAACCCATGACAAACGGTATCCCAACCACTTTTTATGCCTCTGGGGTTCATTGGGAAGGAGGTAGCCTGATTTTAATGCGTTTAATCTCAAGGTGGGAACATTTTGAAATGCGTGAAACTCAAGAACCCTGAGTTGGAGCCTCATTTTTGTGCAGAATGAGCGTTGTCCTAGGTGATGACTCCTGAATGTGTGAGTTCTCTAAACTTTTAACAGGTTTGCTTATATTTTTGTGAGAAGCCTCCTCACTATGTTACGCAGTTACTTTGTTCTCGTGAGAATGTACTTATCGCAAGAATAAGCTAATCCCACTCTTCATTCACTTGTAGTGGCCATTTTCTCTTTGATGCCCTTTATTGTTTCCAGGTGTTACTGGCTCCCTGCTTTTCTAGCTTCTTAACAGTAAATAATGCCTTTACAATAAGGAATACTGCGTTGCAGTGATACTTTTCAAAAGACTGGAACTCCTATAAGTTATTGTTACCCTGTATTCAGTTTTGGGATCCAGTCATTGCTTCCACATGTAGCAAGTGGAATGCACCACTGTGAGTAGTTCTGCAGTATTCCAGGGCAGCTGCTTCTGCGTCTTAGCTGTTAGTACTGCTTTTGTTATAACGAAGAATACACGATAGTGGTAATTTTCCTTAGATTCAATTTCCTTTAGTTTTATTTATTTGGCCTGTAAGTACTGCTTTTGCAGTAATGAAGAATGCATTATAGTGGTAATTTTCCTGAGATAAAACATTCCTTGACTTTATTTATTTGGGCTGTAAGTACTGCTTTTGCAGTAAAGAAGAATGCATTGTACCATGTTTTGAAAAGTTTCATGAAAAATAATAAAAAGGTGAAGAAGACTAGAATAAAACTTATGTGCAGTCACTGAAGGTGCCTTTATGTTTACCTCATGTTTTGCAAATTTTCAAGAAATAAAATAAAAAAAATAAAAAAAGACGATTTTATCATTGCCTCATATTGGCAGGGTTCACGACATCCCGGGTCTGCTGGGACATACGTGATCTCAGATAATGGATATCAAAATCCGTAATTCGTAACAAGATTCTGACTTGGTCTTTTAATCAGCATACGTTCTGTGTTAGTGAAAACACATGGTATCAACAGAAAATTCAAAGCAGAAAATAATTGGGTCACCAAAGGGTTGTTCTTTGGTAACAGTGGAACATTGTTTCCCTGAGGAAATGCTGCTCCTCCTTCCCTCTCTGGGACGGGGTGATTAACAATTTGTTTCTGTCCCCAGCAGCCTCACGGTACGAATTTGCTCCTGTGAAATCCTTTTTCTGCAGAATCCGGTAAGTATTGTAATTTGTGGTGGCCAGAAACAGTGGTTTATGCTCTGATTTTACTTAGCAGTTATTTCAATTGTTTTATTTTCAACTAAGTTTAGTTGTGGATACAGAAGATAAGACTGAGATCTTGCCACAAAGAGTTTGTATTCTCTGGAAGAGAAGATACATATACTCAGAAGAAAATGAGACGATAAAGCAATAGGAATAAAGATCAGAAAGACAGTTTTTAACCTAGGGGCATATGAGAATTACTGGGTGTTAAGTACACTTTAAAATGACCATTGTTTTAGGCTCTTCAGTTTTTGTTTGCTTTTTGTTTTTCAGTTTAATTTTTAAAAATTTTATATTTATAAGAAGGATTTAAACTGTTCAGAAACAGTGAACTAGAAGAAAATGGGCTAAAATTTTAACAGTTGCTGCTTTAGAGTAGGATTAGTAGTGATTTTTTTCTCTTCTGAATTCACTGTAATATATTCATCTTGCTTTCAAAATAAACAGAAAAAATGTTTTTAAAATGACAATATGATTGCCAACATCAGTATTGAAGTTACTAACGGCTGTAGATATTTAGAGAAGAGAAAAATTCTTGTCTTGAATTAGTCAGAGACTCCATAGAATTTGTTGAAAATCCCTCTTGGCAGCTGGAGCGATAAAACCAGGTGAGGAGCTTCATGGTGAGCAGTCAGGGTGCGCCTTCCTGGGGATCCTCTGTGAGAGTCAGAAGGTGGTGCTCTGTCTGTGCCATGGGCCAGTTTGGTGGGCTGCAGTGTAGCCCCTACTTTCCTCTTGGTGGGCTGGAGTGTACCCCTTCTTCTCTCCTTAGCCAGCGCTTTTATGGAGTGCTGAACCATGTACAGGGCCTATGCCAGTACAGTCAAGGCGGTAGTTGAAGCTGAGACTAACTTAGTTCCTGGAAAGAGAGAGTCTAGAGAGGGACGGCTGAGAAGTGGCTGGTAGAGTGATCGGGGCTGTGAAGGGAAAGGATCCAGTTTTCAGTCTTGTGGCACTTGATTTAGACGTAGGAGATAAGACAGATGATTCTGCCTGATCTGATTCTGCAAGCAGAAGAGTCTTAGTAGTAGTTTAGGTCAGGAAAAAAGTCACAGAAATGTCCATCTTCACACTCACAGTCGTCCATATAGGATCTCTTCTGCACTGAATAATCAAGGAGTAATTGCCCTTGGGTATTGGGGAACATTTAAAGCAACATTTCCCTTCTTCTGAAAACAAATGTGTTTAAACATTTTAGATTTGGATACTGTTCTCTAGGAAATTACCATTAAAACATTTCCCCCGGCTTCCTTTACATTGGGCCGGTGGTGTGCCTTGAGACCAGTCCTAATCATTTTTAATTTCTTCAGTGGCGGTGAAGGCGGAGAGCAAGAGAACTATTGCCCGTTCCGGATTATCCCCTATTTGATTCACGTGCATAGTCCCACCCAGCCAGGGGCTGAGCCTTGCTATCTCATGCTGGTTGAGAAGATTCACTCTGGTTATGAAGGTGAGTCTGGCATCTCTGCTTTCTGATAAAGATGTAGAAATGCCAGCACAGCAGATAGGAACCTGGGAAAGCCTGCTCAGTGCAGTCATAGAACCAGAAAACAGCTTGAGCCTTCACATTGTCCCCTGAATACTTTAGGCCTTTTAAACTGATTTTTAACACGCTCGGCTGCTAGCCAAGAGGTTGGAGGTTCAGGTCCACCCTGAGGTGCCTCAGAAGAAAAGCCTGGCGATCTGCTTTTGAAAAATCAGCCATTGAAAACCCTATGGAGCACCGTTCTTCTCTGACACACACGGGGTTGCCATGAGTTGAAGTTGACTTGATGGCAACTGGTGGTTCTTATTTATTGACCTGGATTCTCCATGCAGCCAACAGTCATCTCGTTTAAGGACAGCATGGCCTAATGATCTGAGCATGGGACCTGGTGCTGGATATGCGGTCCTCCAACACTTTCTTTCCTGGTGACCTGTCATGTGGCCTTTTGCTTCTGTTTCATGTGAAATAAGAGTATTGGAAGTGTTTCACAGAGGTCACAAGAGCGAATTTATGTTTTTAAAGTATTTTGAAACCCCCTGAGTAAAAACTATAGTTCATATCTTCTAACGGCGGAACTACGTTTCTAAATTCACATATCAATACATAAGCAGCTTGCATTCATGATTTGAAATTAGTAATTTCAGACATAGGCTTTCTTAAAAATCACCGCCTTATGCAGAAATCACACAATAAAAAACCACAAGGCTTATGTTACAAATGGGTTTAGGGGCACAACACTCAAAAACTTTTGTCAGTGACACATTAAAAAAAAAAAAAAATAGGTTCAACAATTACTTTAAAACAAAGATTAATGGAAACAGAACAACCAGAATGCAAATAATGAGAACGTTCATGCATTGTGAAGAATAAACCAATGTCACTGAACAACTTGTGAAGAAATTGTTGAAGGGGAACCTAAACTGCTACGTAAACCTTCGCTGATAATGCAATCAAATATTAAAAAAATAAATACTAAAAGTAAAGGCTAGGAATCTAATAAAAGTGGTAGCACAGTTTTAGAATCATTGAATGCTTAAAGAAGTACATGAAAACTACAGTAAATATGTTACTGTACCTTGGAAAAGACTTGAAGTTTGTGGAAGTGGGTGCTGGGAGGGTTGCGGCTTCTGCGTTATGGTGAGTAGTGGAAGGTTATCTGAAATCAGATGGAATGTTCTATCCCCAGATAGAGATGGGTGTGGCTCACAGCACATGTGAACTGAGGTAGTGGGTAGATGTTTGAAGTGTGCATATGTGTGTGTTTTGTGTACTGCTAAGCGGTTCTGTTTGGCTGGGTGCTGTTTTCTGCCTACGCCTAGTGTTTCTCGCAGCTGTGCGTAAGCAAACATGAAATTCGTACTATACTCGACTTGTTCCCTAATAAATCAGTCACTTGGGAGCAGAGTTGCATTTTCAAAACAAGCATTATAGCAGAACTTACTGTATCAGTTTTATTACACAAATTAAAAATGTCCATAGAGTACTAAGTGACATCTCAAACCCTTTTGTGTGTTTAGTTATGGACAGCCATGAAATACAACTAAACTTGTTAGTCCTGAACTTTAATTTACTTCAGCTTTGACTTTATTTGTGATGAGAAGACTAGCTCTTCAGTGTGCACAGGCTTTTCTGTTTAAAGTTAACTTTAGCAAACATCACATTTTGACCTAACTCAAAGGTGGTTACTAATGAAAATCATTGTCAGCTGTAGTTTCGGCTGCTCTAAGGCCAGTCCCCTAAGTGAAGTTTCTACTATTTAATGTAGAGGCTTTGTTCCCGTTTTTAAATGTTCCGTGGGTAGTTAAGTGAAAGATTAACTAGATATTTGCCTTTAAATGGGTCTGTGTTTTTCTTAGCTCCTCGAATCCCAGTGGATAAAAGAATTTTTACCACAACACATACCCCAGGGTGTGTTTTTCTTGAAGTAGATGAAAGGTAAGTACTTCTTTAAGGCTAAAAGAAATATGTTTCTGGAAATAAATAAATAAATAATATAAAAAAGTTTACTTCTATAGTATATGAGAAGCTCTGGTGGCGCAGTGGTTAAAGTGCTCAGCTGCTAACTGAAAAGTCAGTGGTTAGAACCCACCAGCCACTCCGTGGGAGAAAGATGTGGCAGTCTGCTCCCATAAAGATTACAGCCTTGGAAACTATGGGGGCAGTTCTACTCTGTCCTGTAGGGTCGCTGTAAGTCAGAATCGACTCGATGGCAGCGAGTTTGGTTTTATAGTATATAGCTGACATCAACTCATTTGCCTATTTGGTTTTTGTTAGTGACATTGAAATTTATTTGTGTTGTATAAATTTTGGATATACATGGTATCTTGCATGTTCATGTTCTCGGAGTAATTTACAAGCTCTCATAGTTTATTTAACAGCAGTCTGCTCCTGTAGGTAGGTCAGGGGTTATTCCGTTTTACAGAAGAAGGCAAGGAACCTGGGCCAATTTGCCGAGAGTTCACATAGTATGTAATTTCCCTCAAACTGGGGCGAAGACATTGGTCTCCTGGCACCTACTCCAGTGTCATTTCCACTAGATCAGCGGTTCCACACTAGTTTATGATGACGTTTTTAATCATTGTGAAGTAGGGGGTAGAGAGGAAGCAAGAAAGGAAGAAAAAAGAAAAGGGCAGATTTTTTTCATAACGCTAGATTAATTTAAAAGAGTATTCTTTCTCTTTAACTTCCTTCTTGTTTTCTGGCATTAAAGTAGTCTTATTTAAAGAGTCGTCACTCGAATAGACATATGCACACCTATGTTCATGGCAGCATTGTTCACAATAGCAAAACAATGGAAACAACGTAGGTGCCCATC